GGTCCTTCCCACTATTCATTGGTAAAAGAGTAGCCCAAGAGTTGACCGTGGGTGGTGATGATTAGCTGCCTTCCCTCTAGTCTTTCACTGCTAAATTAGGGACGGCTAGTGCATATAGCCCTCGTATAACATTGTCCAAAATTCAAAACAAACCCTGGTTTTCTTAGTCTTTTCTGAACTACTGTTATGTTTTTTATTTTGTTTTATGAGAGAATAAATTTATTTATTTATTATTACCTCGATGAAAATATCTTAGAATGAATAGAAGATTTTAGTTTCTAACAAAAACATCACATTTACACATAAACCAAAGTTATTCTTTTGAGGTATGTTTAATAAATTATTTTAAAATGATTTATTCATAAAGTATATAAGGAAATAATGATGCATGAGTATCTTCATACAGATCACAAACCTATCTTCTAACAGCAGATTTTTTTATTTGTGTTTTACAGGCTGGCCTTACAGTTGGCGATATGATATTGTCCGTAAATCAGAGGGAGTTAGTAGGAGCAGATTATGACACTGTAAGCTTGAACACGTACTGTTTTTCCTGAATATTTTCATTCCAATTTTCACTATTATATATCTATCATTTTTAAACCTCAGAGTGTTTGTTGTGTCATCATCTGATTTGGGGAAGGTGGATATAAATGAATAGTAGACATGCACTTCTGCTTATTCATTCTTAGGATTTAAAATGTAACTATCATGTAACTGATTCAGATTGTTTGTAATTTTATCAAGCCTAAGTAAGTATTTTACTGTATGATCTGTTAACACTTATGTTTTTCATGATTTTATCAACTGACAGAACTAGAAGATGAAGTCAGTTCTGAGAGTGCTTGATGTTAATTTAATACATGGGCTCTGCTCTCTTCGTACCTTAGAATGATTTTGGTTGGTTGCTTAACGCATTTGGTGTAACTGTCTTCAGGCTGCTAGTATACTGAAGCAAGCTGAAGGAACTATTCAGTTGGTGGTATCAAACCCAACTCGTCCCCAATCTGTTGCTGCCATAATAGATGAGGAACAAAAGTCAGAACACAGCATCTCCGAACCTTCGGATAAAACACCTTCCGATAAAATGCAAGAGAAAAAGAGTAAGTTAGTCCTTTTTTTTTCTTTAATTTTATAACTACCTGTTTTATAACTGTTATTGATTTTTGCTTCTTTGATCACTTCAGGAAATTAGAATTTAACTAAAATGTTTACATATTGATTACCACTTTGAGTATGAGATTTTTGTATGTGCTTTTAGCTTCCAGTTAAGTTTATTTTCTTACACTGAAATGTGAATGAAAAGTATGTATGTGGTCATGTATACATTGTATGAAATGAACATCTGTTAAAATATTGCTAATGTAACATGCATCTGTTAAAATATTGCTAATGTAACATGCATCTGTTAAAATATTGCTAATGTAACATGCATCTGTTAAATACGTAGCATGAACTTTATATTGTTTAAGTTGATTTAAATAAAGTTCATTGTTTGAATATCAGAGGATTGAAAGCATGTGTTCTAGATACCACTTTATTTCTTTTAAATATGTTTTTAAAGTGACATTTATGTATATGTTTATAAATGTCTAAAGCATGTTAAGTTTTACAAATTTTGTTGAATATATTGCACAATCTTTGTAAAGAAAGAAATTGGAGTAAATCTGTGCAAAGAGGTCGAATAATTAGTTATTTGAGAACCAGTTTTGACATCTTTGGCCTTCCTTTCTTCTGTTTTAATATCAGTTTCCTATTAACTGTGTGTCTTAAAAAAATCTATGTATGTTTTTAATTCTATTTATGTATGTAGTATAGCTGAGAATTAGATAAACAATCTATCCACCAAGCTATCATGTGTAATACTGTTATGCTTGATAAAAGAATTAGCACAAAGGATCACATATAAAGTGTAATAAACTTAAAATAAAACCCAAAACTTGAGCGCTTTCGAATAGTGACAAGAAGAATAGTCACCTATTCGAAAGTGCTCGAGTTTTGGGTCTTATTTTAAGTTTAATACTGTTATGCTTCATTATAACTGGTTATATAATGAAAAACACTGTTTTTGGCCACAAATTCAAGTTTGGATTGAGTTTGTAGTAATTTTTGCACCAAGTTCCTTGATCTACTTGAAATACTAGATGTATCAAACTATGCATTCACATCACGCTTTTTGAGCTGGCTTTCATGTTTGTGTGTGTGTGTTGGTAAAGAGTTATTTAATGTTAAATTATATTTTAATTTACACTGAAAGATGTACACAAATTGTGTGTTTGTAACTTACTTAGCAAATTATCTGTTTCATTTTTACAGAAATGACAACTATAATTGGCATGTGTTGCCAGGTAAATCCTGGCATGTAAATTTTATTACATGAAAACAACAATATCACTTCTTCTTAGAAAATTTAGCATAAGAAGTGCAGCAAGTATAAAACATGGTGCTATAGCTTATAAAGCAAGCTATTCTGAAAACACAGTTCATAATAAGTTGCAACAAGAGTTTAATCTTTAATATTCAATAAAGTTTACACTATTTCAATTCTTGATTGTTCAGTTTGATAGAAATAAAATGTTTTAGTAAAAAAAAGTAAAAAAAACTATAATCTTCAGCTCATGGTTGTAGTTCAATCTGTAAGAAAATTTTACCAAATAGACTGAATGTGTCTTAAGACAAGAATTAAATAATAGGCTATTTAACAGTTAGAAAAATACAATGTTTAAGCACGTGAATGTTATTGTATATAGTTACCAGGATTTCCATTATTATTTAAAGTAATTGTGGACTTAATCAACTTATAAATGTGTAAGAAATACTACTAGTAGATTAAATACATATATAGTTTTAAAGTAGCCTAACTTTGTGGCAACACTGTTTGAACACCTGTAACAAAGAAATATTAATATGTTATAAAAAGAGCTTATTTAAAGTTTTGTATCAAATATTATATAAAGCAGAAAGTATTATTGAAAACATCACAATTTTTTGATCCGTTTTTGCAAAGAAGCACAGTTTGATACACTTGTATGAAAAAAAAAGAAAGAAAAGGCTAACAGTTTCAAGTGATATTTAACTGTATAGGTAAGAAAACAAGGGATAAGCAAAAAATACATTAAGATAGTGATATTTAATCCCACAAATAACATAGTCTAATACACTAATTTAAAAACAAAAAATAGGCTAACAGTTTAAAGTCATATTTAACTGTACAGGTAAGAAAACAAGGGATAAACAAAAATACATTAAGTTAGTGATATTATAGCCAGCAAATAATACAGTCTGATATACTGAATTAAAAAATAAAAACTAGGGGAATAGTCTCATAGTTTGAAGTGATATTCAGCTGTTCAGGTATAAACTGTAAGTTATATTAATTTGAAGATGATATAACTAAACAACTCATCATTATTCTCTTAAACCTCCAGTGAAATTTAATGGATAGCTTGTGAACCAGAGTTCTTAGCTGCTATGGTATTAATGAAACACTAACAACACTGCATTAATCTGTAACTTGTATGATTTTGCATGCATTTCTCTGAGCCTGATGTTAACTTGTGGATCTGACTTTGCATGCTTTGCCTGGTCTGTGAGTATAAGTGTGAAATCTTTCTATCAGTTAATGACATTATCAGTATTTTTCTCTGTTGTCTTTTTTTTTTTTCTTTCTGGAGGGTTGAGAAGAAATTTCAAAGCTTTTAACAATGATATAGCATCTGTAATACTATAATTAAAATAAAACTATTTTGAAAATCACAAGATTAAGATTTATTAGAGTAAGAGATTAATCTGATGTTATTTTAATTTTGTGCTTTGAAATAATTAATCATTTATTTCACTGTTACATGTTTCTTTCAGGATTTTATGAGTTTTATTCAGACATTTTACAAATTTAGTATTTATTACAAACCCCACAAAATAGTTATGTTATTCTAAGATAATTAACACATTTGAAGTATTTCTCTTCTATCATTAAAAGAACTGCAATTTAATTAATAAACATGTTTTGCAGAGGAAATAGATTTTCCTTTTTTTACCTCAATTATGGACTTCAAAGAAGAATGTTATCTAATTTGTGACTTGTGTGCCACTCGGTTTCAACAGTTTAGTCTTTTATACAAGAAAGTTCACACTGTTTTGAGTTATTGGTTTCTTAGTTTCATTAAATTGAAGTATTTTTGTAAAACTTAAACTAAAATGAGGTTATTTTTTATAATTTGTTTAAAAACTTGTATGTTTGAAGATTTTTATTTTTTATTTATTCCTGACCTTATTGCTATATTACATTTTTAAAATGTCATAAGGTTAAAAAACTACAGGTTTTGACTCTAAAGGTAGTCTGTTTCATAGTTAGAAAAAAGGTTATGAAGTTTTATTTACGTAAGTAGTTTTTTTATAGGTTGTCCACTGTATTTTTACAAAATCACCAATTTCTGTCAAGGTTGGTAGTATAAGATCTGTTGAAAACCTAAACCAAGGTGGTTAGTTTTATTTAAAATATAATGTTCCTTTGTTTCAGAAACGTAAACACTTAGCTAATTTTTATTCTTTGTTTTCAGATACTCCTCCTCCTCCACCACCAAAACCCTCTCACCTTTCCTCAAAAATGTCCTTTCAAGTTGTAGCTCACTCACCCATTTCTCCCATAACCTCCTCTGTAAACCTGATACCCCCCAGAAGTCCATCATGTAGCCTGTTAGAAAATTCTTCAGCTGATTTATCTTCTTCTCAAGAGCCTGCAGAACCTTTACCTGATCCAAAGACATGTGAGATCAAACTTGGAAGAGAGACAACTGTGGAAATAACAAAGGAAAAAATGGGACTTGGTTTGAGTATTGTTGGTGGCTCAGATACACCCTTGGTATGGTAACAGCCTTTTATTTTATTTTTGTATTATAGTGTTTATACTGGATGAACTCTAATACCAGAAGGCTAAAGTGGTATTAAAAATATTAACTCAATGAGATCAAATTAATTCAAAAGTTGAACTTGTGGTAGTTCAGCAAATCACCAGTTTAAATTTTATTTAATCATTATCTCTGAAAAATACATTGATTTAATATGTTTTCTCTCCAAAAATCATCAGCATATTTAAACATAATACCCTTCAGTTTTTTAAGAAATTGTTTGAATTTCCAGCTTATTTATATTTCCAGCTAAAATGAATTTGCGTTAACTGAACTACTTACCACTTTAAAATGTTGTTTAATATTTTAGAAAGGATATTAGCTCATATTTTTCAGTTTGTTATTTATATATTATTATTTTGGACTCCTTTAAGTTTATATTGTATAAACACTGAAAATGTGTTTTATAGAAGACTTTTATCCTAAATTTGGTCTTTCTTAAGTAACGATATATATGTGGTTTTACAGAATCATTATGTCACAATAATATGAAACTATGAATTTTTTCGCAGAGAAGTTTCTTGCCAAGTAGCTTTTTTAAATAAGTATTGTAACACAGAGATTTAAGTATAACTTTATCACAGAAAGCTTTGAGTAATTATCATCAGAGAAATATAAATTTAAATATGATCACAGAAAGCTGCAAATGATAATCAGTATGATAATTTCATATAAAAACATTTAATTATTTATCATCTGAAACATTTTTCAGTATGAAGTATCTTAATATAGTTCCACTTAATCTGAAGAATTTAAGTTGGTTAAAAGATTCCCATTGTTCAAGTACACTTAAAGGTTTTCATGTAGGTTTGTTCAAATCAGACTCTTAATCTGTCTTACATGATAACCTTGTAACAGATGGAATATAATATTTTCATGTTTGTTTATGAAAACATAGTAATGTTTACAAGTAAAAACTGTATATTTTCTTTGAAACTGAGAAAATTTTGTAAGATAATAATTTTGATGAAATTGGGGAGAATAGCTTTGAATTTCTTAAAACTAGGTCTTGTTTGAAGGGACATGTTTTGGTCATTCACTCTAGCCATAGATGAACCTAGGTTTATTATCTATTATCAAAATATATTTTCCAAAATATGCTAATATCCTTTGGGTCACAGGGTGCTATAATCATACATGAAGTTTATCCTGAGGGTGCTGCGGCATTAGATGGTCGTCTCAAGCCTGGAGACCAGATTCACCAGGTGAGAGCTACTTGAATGATATAACTAATTGGAAGTTGAATAAGAAGTTGCACTTTAGATTAACTGTAGAATGTTTTAAATTCAGAACATTTCATAAAATGGTAATTTTCACATAAATGTTTAGAAAAAGATAATTGTTTTAATGTAAAGAATTTTTCGTTCATTAAATTCAATACTATTGTCTTTTTTTTTATGATAGAATTTGTTAATTATGTTTATATTGGTTTGGACAAGGTTTTAAGATGGGCTATGTCTGTGTAAGTGTATGTGTAGAGGGGTTGTCTATGTTACATTAACTCTTTCCTTACAAAGTTTGTCAATGCAACACACCATGGAACTACCTTGAAAGCATTGAACGATACATACTATAATTCTAAACGTATTTGTATATCTTTACAAAAACTAACAAGCTTTTAGTAAAAATTATAAGTTAGCTGTACACAAAAAATCAGATTTTGTAATTTGGTATTTCTACTAAAGATTTGTCTCTGAATTTTCAAAACCTTCAGTGAGTCAATTTAAGTGAAATGTGATTTTCCTGTTAACCCTGCATTAGTCTTCCAGTGTCTTCATAGACCCCAAATATTTTGTAAACATTGGTGCTGAATGATGGAAGCATATACATATTTGTTGTTCTCAGGAGTTTCAGTATTTGCCTAGTTTGTGTGAAATTGTTACACTTAGTTTAGGTGGTAAAAAACAAACAAGTTGTAATATTCAGTGTTCATTTATTGATTAATAAAGGAGAAGATTTTAAATGTTAGTTTTTTTGTTTCCAAAATATTAGCTTATTATTATTTAATTATTTTTAAATTAATTTTTTTTATGGGGTCCACTTGGAACCTGGAAGAGCGACTATGGAAAATTTTTACAGAAGACTAATGCAGGATTAAGAATAGAAATACTTTTTTTTTTCGTCTTACAGTTTTTGTATTTCCTTTGCATAGCTCTAGAACCTCCTAAATAAATAACAAAAGTTTTTATGGGGAAAACTTTTCATAATATCTTGTATTTTCTTTTCTCTAAGCAAACTGTAGGGAAATTGTCAACGTACAGTGAAATGACAAATTAAAAATATGAAATAAAATTAATAATAATAATGATTGTGAAAAGCGTAGGTGGCGCATGAGGCTTTTGTTTGGGTAGACTACTCTTTCACATATACTGTATAATATTTTTGAGTTGGTAAGAGTAATGCTTTGTAAGGGACATTTTATTTGGGGGGTCCCTTTGTTTGTTCATGACAGTTGTTCGATGGAAGTTGCCCCTTGGGTAATCGTAATCAGAGGTGAACTATCTCTCTTCACCATTTAAGCCTTTTATTTGTGCCATCCCTAGTGAAAAGTAATAGATCACAGTGGGAGCTATTGCATTTTTGCTGTAGGGAATTTACATAACAGCTTGTGAGATAGTGTAAAATTTCTTCATTTGTACAGATGATCACACAATCATGCTAGTGTAATTTAAGATGTTTTATTGTAGAGAAGTTTTGTTCAGATAAACTGGAAAATATTTAATTTTTACATTTTTGATTACTTCTGTTAAAAAACATATAAAGATAAAAAAACATACATAAAGATCAAGAAATTTAGTATGTACTTCAGGATTGAGGTCTTTTTCTCATTGTTACGTCTCTGTTCGTTTGATAATTTCCCATAAAAATTCTTCCTGATACAAACCCTTTCTTAAATAA